ATTGTTAGGTTAATTGATGATCTTAATTGAACATAGTCATTGCAAAAGATGGAAAAAGAAAGAAATCAATCCTAAGTGCCTTTAATTGATATTTTCTAAATAATTTACAGTTCTTTGTTATTTAATTTTAATTCAACTCTTTAAGAAAAACTCGTTTAATCCACTTAGTAAGTATATAATTGAGAATTTTTATTGAAACTGTTTCTCGTGGGATCGACTTTTATTTAATCGAAATACTATATTTTGATTAATAATTTTGTTACGCTTGTCAATCAATCAACATAATCCAAAATAATATTTATTCCTTCAGCAATATTGGAACTGTATGTGTTGTATATTCAACAAATATGGAATACCTTAATACGTCCCTTGAATCATACATTCATTATAGGGGATGATACCTTTTAACAAAACTCGACCTCGCTCTTCACATGAGCATGTGGAAATCTGGCCAAAGTTTTCCATATTTGCAGCATTCGAGTTAATGACAGATGTAGAAAGACGAACACGTCCATGAACCAACCCCATAATTAAATATTCGTGTACAAACACATTAATTGAAGATCATGAATTGCAATACAATATTTGTATAATAATGAGTTACAACATAATATACCTTTTATATATATATATATATATATATATATATATATTTGATAACAACATTTACAAAATATTAATAAACTAATATAATATAACTAATTTGTATTTAATCACAAGAAAATAATTATAGGAACATACTCATTAATACATATCATTCTTTTTAAAACAGTAAACAAATGTTGGTGGGAAAAATCGATATATGGATCGAGAAGCGGATGGAAGAAAATCGAAGATCGTATGTTAGTTGAAAAATTGATAAATCGAAAAGATGGTTGGAAGACATTCGATGACCATGTATTCGTATGAAAACATCGATCGAGAATTGGAATCGAGAATCGAAAGAAGAAGATTCGATGACTATTGTTGAAGAAAATCGAGAATGGGAATCGAGAATCGAAAGGAGAGGATTCGATGACTATTGTTGAAGAAAATCGAGGATTGGAATCGAGAATCGAAAGAAGAAGATTCGATGGTTATTGCTGAAGGAAATCGAGAATTGGAATCGAGAATCGAAAGAAGATAGAGGAATTTCGATGAAAGTAAGAAATTGATAATAAAGTATTTAGTGTAAAGTTAAGGTTAAGGGAAATCAGAAGCAATTCAAAACACTCGATATCTAGAATCGAGATCAAGGGGAACGGTTAAAACGCACATGGAACGTGGAAGCGGTTTTCTGAACCGTAGGCTAAGGTAAAAATCGAGGGACGTGCACATGGAACGTGGTAACAGTTTTTTAACTGCTCTTAGGAGGTTACGTTGAAGCAGACCTATAAATAGAGCGAAGTTTGAAAGAAAAGGGGAAATTGGCAGAGACAACAGAAACGCAAGTGAAAAGTATACAGGAGAACGACGCATCATAAAGTTTCTAATGCTCTGGATTTCCATTTTCATTGATTGTCTTTATCGCTTTCTTTACTTTCCCTGATAATTTACTTTCATGTAATTCACTTTCATGCAATTTATGTTCATTCAGTCATTTACATTTATCAACTTTAAGTTCCTGTCATTTCAATTCCTTGTCATTTACCTTTATGCAAGTTAAGATTCTGCTTTTAAGTTCCTTGCCATTTATACTTCTGCAATTTCGATTCTCTGCTATTCACATTTCTGCAATTTCGATTTCCTGCTATTTACATTTTTGTAATTTCGATTTCTTGCCATTTACATTTTTGCAATTTCAATTCCTTGTCATTTACACTTAATGCAATTTTAAAGTTTCACATTTACATTTCTCTGCAATTTAATATTCTGCACTGCTTTTCGTTTCAACACTTTTTACTGCTTTCTTTATTTCAAGTCTCTTAAATAAAAAATACCAAAAATAGTACTTTCGATTGTCAATCTGTATGCTATGTTACGTTGTTAGCGTTTCTCGATACTGTGGTATTTTCGATTCTCATACATGTTTCAATTAAAAACTGTTTGCTAGCCTAAGTAAAAAGAATCTACGTGATTGAAATTTGGTTAGAACCTAAGTCTCCGAAAAATCGAAATCGATGAAATTTTCACCGAAACAACAAGATATGAATAAAAAAGTGAAAAAGAAATAAATTAATGTAAAATAATAAAAATGTAAAATCAAATTACTATAAAACATTAACAACAATTAAAATTAAATGAAAACAAAATTTATAAATAAATGACATTTATAAACATTATAATAAAAATATTTTCAATTAAAAAATAAAGAATCAAGAATTGTTTAAAAATAAAATAGTGTAGTAATTAAATTTAAAATTTCTGGAAACGATAAATCTAAAATCAAATTGAGAATTAGAATTGGATAAGAGATGAATTGAAAATGAAGATTAAGCAGTGCTTGGAATAAACATTCTAAACAATTAAATAGCATAAATTAAAATGAGCACTAAATGAATAAAATAAATAAAATAATATAAACTGAAAAGTTCAATAGAAATTATAAATTAAATAAAAAAGAACAAATCGAGCAGTAGCAATAGATGAATTCACTTAATTAAAAAATAAATTAAGAACTGAGAAAAGAAAAGAAAACGGGGACAAGATAAAACAACATTTCTCACCCTGAGGCTAGGAGATTATAATCGTGTTGTTGTCATAAAATCTCTATGTGTAGGATATTGAACCAAAAAAATTAAACCTAAAATTAATTATAATAAAATCAAATGTTTCTCAAACAAATAATTGTAAAATTGGATTATCTAAACAAAAAAATACTAGGATAGATTTGAAAAAAATAATTTGTCTCTTTCATATTTTGATTGATGCAGCACTAATTTGTATTTAATTCTTGATTTATGCTAACCTTTAATTCAACTCAAAATTGGATTTCCACACTAATTAATTTGCTTGATTCAAAATTTTTATTTATAACGTTCTACAAGTGGACTACATAAATAAATTTGGACTTTCGAGTTTGATGACATTACTTTGAACATTTCTTTTCATTAATTTGATCCATATCAAATCATCTCTCCTAAAAAAACAGAAATATACAACTTAAATATATACATATATATTATTTATTATGTTAAAATAATATAAAATATAACAAATTAAGAAATATTAAATTATGTTATGTTTTTAATGAAAATATGTTAAATACATAAATTTTGAATAAAATAACTAACTTAAAAAATATTTTTAAATAAAAAAATAAAGAGTAAAATGATGTATATCAATATATAACAAATTAAATTGTAAACACAATGCCGATACGAAGTAAAAAAAATTGTTTAATAGCTTGTAATTATGTAATATTTACTTGAAACATAATTAAATTAAAATAAGATTTAAGTTTAAAAATATGTAAAGAAATTTTACATTATCAATCAAACACAAATTAAATAAGGTGTCATTATTCATTATTAGAATCATTCATGTTTAGTGATTAATTTTCTTTTGGATTTTGTATAAAATAATGTTTTTAATGCATTTTTTTTATGAATCTTTTATAATTAACAACAGAATTTTTAATATTTGAACAAAATATAAATTTTTTGAATAGTCATTATAGTAGTATATTATGGTGATGTATGGCAAAAAAACATGGCACAAGCAGCACCAGCCGTGTACTTAATTAACACATTGACAGCTTCCTCCTCCTAATTCCTCATCCCTACACTACCCGACTCTTACTCATCCTCATTTCAACCCTTTTCACCTCTTTCTCCATCTATACGTATCTTTCTTTCGATAGCCGTAGCAAACTCAAATCAGTTTCCTCCCAAATACGGCTTCTCCCACCACCAATAAAATATTGCTTCAACATGTAAACCACTGTAACTATCACACGCCTTGTCATGCTTCCAAACTCAATCTCAGAACCCATTCAACTCAATAAAATATTCCTACAGTTCTATCTAATTAATAATTCATTTTTATTGAAACAAGTCTTGGATTATTTTTGCAAAGTCAGTTTATAAGTTATTTTTAACTCAATTTTAAATTATTAATACCTATATAATATATTCTTAGTAAATAAAATTTATTTAATTTTCAAAAGTTAAGAAATCACAAGTAAAATAAAATTTATCTGCTGAGTAAAATTATATATTCACTAGGGATGAAATTTAAGCGAATTATTTCCTTTCTCTTTTCTCAACTATACTTGCTATCTAAAGAAAAAAACTTCTTCTCCCGTAAGAAAACGTTATTGACTTGTACGTGATTTTCCTGATTTGACAAAACATATATACATAAAATTCGTAATACGTAACTTTTGTAAAGATGGGAGTGTTGAATACGCACTGATAGCTCATGTTTACATATGGGATAAATGGATTGCATTCGTCATCAATTCAACCTAATCTTATACTGTTTTTTTATTTAATTAAACTATTAAATTTGATTGAATTTCATTTAATATATAAATTAGATTTGAATTAAATAATAAATTTTAAACTTGATTAAACCAACATAACTTGGCTTATTTAATAATATAATAAATATATAAATATATTATTTAATAATTTTATATTTTAACATCTTAATATATTTATAATATATATATATTATAAATATTTTTGATACTTTATAATTATTTAAAAATACTATATCTTTTCAGGTAATTTTTTCTTAATAAATATATATTTTTTAAATTACTCATCCAACAAAACTCAATTATAGTTAGCTTAGATTAAATCCAACCTAACTAAATTTAATTAAATTAAATTAAAAAACAAATTTAAATTAAACTTCAACAAACCTGAGCAATTTCAACTCCCCATATTTGTGGTCTATAGTATTCAAGACATTTTTATTTATATTGTCTAAACGATTATAAACATACAGACAAAAGTTACTACATAAATAAAAGCTTCAATAAATATTAGAGTGTAAAAACACACCCTTTTAACTAATGTTTCAAGTTTTTATTGGAGACACCAACTTTGAGCTACCATGGACGCTGAATATGGTTAGTGAGGATTGGAAACTGAAACTGAATTCATGAACTCCTGGTCGGATTCTAGTGCACTCATTACATCTGGCGAAAGACATACTTCTAAATCAACGCTTCCTCCTCCTTCATGGCTTGGATATGACGTAACTTTTCCATCAAACTTGTTGGCATAACCACTTCTTACTGCCACAGCTTTCCCCATGCCAAATTCATTCCCGTACATGTTGAATCTGGGTGAGCTTCCCATCATCACACAGTTCCGGTCAAAATACCGACCAAGTTGATATATCAGAGGAGACTCTAACCATTCTCTCACCGATTTCAACACCACTCTATCGTTGTGCTTTATAACAGCCAGGTGCAACTTCCATGCTGCCCATCCAAGTCCATTCTCAAGCAATTCCCCCCAGGTTGCTGATCCTGCGCTCAGTGTATGAATTGAGTTTCCAAAGTACTCCTGAGGTAGTGGCGGTTCCATTCTTGTTCGGTTGTTCGTAGCTAACTTGCAACTTGTTCTCTCATCATACGCCAAGCGCCGCGCCCGAGTTATGCATCTCCAAACAAGTGCTGAGAGTGATTGGAAGGAAGAAATTTTTGTGGTATTGCATTCCGAGTTGGCTTTTGCTTTCAATTTTGCTATAGACTCTGCTGAAAAGTGGAAGAATCTCTCTCTCATCAAGGGTGCTTCATATCTGCTGATAAACTCGTCGTGGTGTTTGAAAGGAAGATTGATTGGTGGAACGCAATCATCTGGAAACCAGCGTTTGTGAAAAGGACGGCGCGATATGGGAACATCATGTTCATGGCCTTGAGATTGAGCTTGGAAGATCTCGGACCATGTGTTGAAGAAATTCCAAAAAGAAGTTCCATCACCAATAGCATGGTTCATAGAACAACCCATGAAAACACCATCCAGCAATTCAGTGACTTGTATGGACAACAACGGCATGGTGTGACCATCGTGGTTGAGGGCTCTATCGTGGTCAAAGAATGAGTGAACAATGGGTGGGACGTCATCTGGGGAGAGGATATCAGATATGGTCATATCTATCGTTGCATGGATGAATCTAGCTCCAAAATTGTTTGTGCAATCAACGAAAACAGAATAGAAAGGAGGGTGTTCTGTTTTGTGGGTGACAAGGCAACCGGACAATGGATAGAAATGGGAGAGGGTGAGAGAAAGAGAGTGTTTAAGCTTCTCCAAGAGATTCTGTATGAAATCACGTTGATTAGCATGTGGTGAAGGAGGCTTCTTGAAGAGAAGACCCTTTTGGATATAGTGCGCAGACAACATGGCAATATCCCAAGGTGTTAAGTGGCTTATTCGGTTTGATTCGTGGGTGGAGAGCTTCGGTTTGATGAAGCATTCTGAAACGCGTTCTACGACCCGGGTATTCATGATCCTGAGAGAAACCCTTGCACAATATTTCACTTCCGTGCTTGCATATATGCAAAGAGTCGAAGTTTTTATCTAAACTATATGCTATTGCCATGGTTATATAGTTGGATAAATAACGAATTGTTCGGTAAATTTTGGAACACTCACAAATCATCCCTAGTACAGACGTATGAAAAGCTAAATTACAAAATAGAAATATATTATCATTCAAAGTATATTAATATTTTAGATATTTTAGATAATGAAATTTGAGTGATATTATAAGCATAGATTTTTTTTTTACATACTTTTATTATTGAAAAATAATTTAAAACATATAAATAAAATAAATATTCAAAAAAATACAATAAAACTATTTTAAATATTTAAGTAGTTTTTTTAATATATATGATTTAAATTTAAAATGAAATCACTTTATATATATATATATACACACACACACATATGGGTAGGTATACATTGAATTTTTCGATATTTAATACAGATCTAAAATTCATATTCATTTAATTAAATTAAATATATTTTCTTTTTTTAATCTAACTTAAATTCGAATTTAAATTAAATAAAATTCATATTTATTTAATAATGTAATTTAAATAAAACTTACTTAATTTAACACTAAATCTAATCCGACCTAATCAAGAGACAATATAATTAATTCATATATTATTTCGACGTAGTATAACTTAATTCAATTTGCTTGATTTGACCAAACTAAATTGGTGAAACTGATTTAATATGACTCAATCTTATGGAATTTTTTAATTTCAATTTAAGAAATAGTGATAGAAATCCGACACTAATGCAATAGTGTTTAAACGGGATTCTGGAGGTAACATTAAATGATTTAATTTAAAAAGACTTAATTCGAAATTTCCGATAAATTGAATAGATTAAACTTTTGTGATCTAAATTTAATTAAATCTATTTGTTTTAAGTCGTTTAGTAATAATATATATATATATATATATATATATATATATATATATATATATATATATATATATATATAAACAAAAGTTTATATTATTAATCTGTTGATTTATAATTAGGTTTATTTTATAAAATAATAAATATTTTTAAATAAAAATAATATTATTTTATTAATATATATTATAAATTAATTTGATAAATAATTAATTTATTTCAAGAATAAATATTAAAAAATTAATATTTAATTATTTAATATTTAATAATTAAGATTAATTATTATTTTAAATTAATAAATATTAAAAAATAAAAATATGATGAATAAGAAAATATAAACTTTTAACTTTTGAATAAATATATTTTTTTATATTTTATATATTCAATTATTATATTTTAAATAAAAATTAGTTTTATTAATATAATTTACATTTTAAAATTTTTTTATTTTTTATTTTTATTTTTTATTAATTATTTTGGTATAAATATCTTAATATTTTTTTAATTTTTAATCATATCAAAATTAATTTATTAATCCATTAATTTAATATAAAATTAAAATAAATTAAAAATTATAATATGTTTTAAAATAAAAATTAGACTCAACTAATTTTATCTGACTAAAAATAAAATGTGTCAGACCACCTGTTTTGGCAGGCATAAGAAGTGACTATCAGAAACAACTACTCCTTCACGACAAACCAACCATCGTATCACTTTGTCCACTAAAATTTATGGTTTTTGTCCACTAAAATAAACGAACATAAGATGTGAGATCATTTTTAAGTTTATTTAATGATAAATTAAAATAAAATAGGTGTAAAATAAAACATGTATAAATTAAAAAAGTGATATATTTTTAAGGTGACATCCGTTATTTTTTAGATTAGAAGTTAGTTTGATATTTGAAAATGTAATTCAATTTTCTAACCTAGATACTAATTATATATCAACTGAAATTTTAAGTACTTAAACTTTCGAATTATCAAATCTTACATAGTTCGAAATTCTAATAAAAAAATTAAATATATTACTATAATTTTAGATTATTAAGAATTTATTCTATCAAATAAATCTCATATATAACCATCCTTGAACCCATATTTAGAAAGAAATCAAAATTTTTTTATTAAAAGTTTTTAAATAATTAAATTTTGTATAGAAAAAACAAATAAACTTCAATTTATTATACTCCTATTTTTCTATTTAAATAAACTTGTTCTCACAAATATAACTTATTATTTTGTATATTTTTATTAATTAGACTTGATTATCATACATAATGTTACTTTTTAGTCTTGAATATAAGTTTTTTTCTTTTTATAAAACTTCATATTCATTATTTAATAACAATGTTTTATTATATAGTTTTTTTTTTTAATAAACATGATCCACCAGTACTTTTAAGTATTTATTTTAGACTAATTTAGTTTGCCGAAAAAAAGTAAGTAAAATATGATAAAAGATTAAATTCGCACCGAATAATTCAATTTTGAATTTAACTTATTAACCATTAGTGTCTAATTTTTGTGTGTTAAAATTACACAATTCAATGTATTATTACATGCATGTGTTTATTTGAATATAAACTAATATAAATTAAATATGCAAAATATATTAAAGAATTTTATTTTGAAATTCCATATTGTAACTGTGATTTGTTAACATTACAAATAATAACTGTAAACATTTTATTAAGATTATCATAAAAAAATATATACATTCAATAAAGTCTTTTATAGTCTGAGTATAGATCTATCAAGCTTTATAAAATAGAGTAAAATAAAATTAGAAGAGATCTACTCTTTTTTTATTATTAATTTTTCGGTTACTTAATAGATCAAAATTATATTTATTTTAATTATTAAATTAAAAATAATAATGATAAAACTAATTTTTTTTATAACTTATTCTCATTAAATGAATTTATCCTTAATAAAAATATTTAAAATTTAATTTAAATATTTAAAATTATTTTCATATATATATATATATATCTTTAAAAAATATATCACAATTGCATTCAATATAACGTACGCTTTAGATAATTTCTAAAAAACAATTACTTAAATAAAGGATGAGGGAAGTACAAATACAGAACAAATTAAATATCTTATTAGGAAAATAAAAGTTTTTTAATTATAATTATAATTTTTATTGCATTATATATATAATATAATATAAATGAAAATAAATATTTATAAAAAAAAATTATGAATCAAAATAAAAAAATAATCAAACAAGATAAGATCCTTCTTTTATTGAAAGTGATCTAATTTCAAAAAAAATTATTTTAAAATAAAAAAAATAAAAAAATCATATTTCTATACGATATCAAACTTAAGTTTATCCCCTCTATATCCATATATATATATATATATATATATATATATATATATATATATATATATATATATATATATATATATATATATATATAATCACTTAGATTTTAACTTCTTAATTTTTTTTTTTCAGTATCCAAAGAGAACACAAACAAAGCATGATGAGTGATGTACCTGTTTGTCATTTTTATTTGAAGCAGTCTTTTGCTTTCAAGCTCTCAGATTTCACTCCTCACTTCATTAAACTTTTTAAATTTATAGGCAATTTCATTCATTGTTTGATTAGTTTAAGAATAAATGTAAGCTTGTAAAAGATAGCCCCGGTGAACAGGATAAGTAATTGGAACATCAAATGGAAAATAAAAAGGTAATGCTTTAGCAATTACCACAACATTCTTTCTTCTTAATATATATATATATATATATATATATATATAGACAACAATCACATGTCAACTAATTCTGTCTGCAAATTTCTTAGCAAACCAGATTTTTCATTAATCCAATTTAAGAGCGTCGATCATCATTCATGTTCGGTAGGATTTCGATCGAAAACCAAACCAACAACTATCTTCACAATTGAATCAACGTTTACAGTTCTATATTCTACGTACCAGACTGAAGTCAACAAATTTTTCCATTGAAAACCATTTAAATATTTATGATTACAGTGCAGAGTGAGTGAAACAGAGGAGTTTTGAGAGACAAATGGTGGTATGACATGGCCACTCCAAAAGCTTTCAGAGTCTAATCTAGTACATGTTACCTTACATGGACACAGAAACAGCTTCCATAAACTCCTCATCTGATTCTAGCAAGCTCATTGCATTGGGCGGAAGGGACAGTTCCAAATCTATGCTTCCCCCTCCTTCACGACCTGGATATGCAGTCACATTCCCATCGAATTTGTTGGCATATCCACTCAGAACTGCCACAGCTTTTCCCATCCCAAATTCATTCCCATACATGTCGAACCTCGGCGAACTTGACACGGTCACACTGCACGAATCAAAGTGCACGCCAAGTTGGTACACCACAGGGCGCTGTAACCACTCTTTGACACCGTCACGCACTGCTCTGTCGTTTTGGTTAGCAACAGTCAGGTGCACCTTCCATGCAGCCCATCCTAGATCGTTCTCCAGCAATTCCCCTACTTTGGTCCCCGCACTCACCACATCAACAGAGTTTCCAAAGTATTCATGCGGCAGAGGCGGCTCCATTCTTGCTCGATTATTTATGGCCAATTTGCAACTTGTTATCTCATCATGTGGAAGCTGACGTGCGCGTGTTATGCATCTCCATACATGAGCTGATAAGGATTGGAACGAAGAGATTTTGGTGGTCTTGGACTCTGAGTTAGCCCTTGCTTTCAGCTTTGCAATAGACGCTGCTGAAAAACGGAAGATTTTGTCTCTCAGATTGGGTGCTTCAAATCTGCTTATAAACTCTTCGTGACGTTTGAAGGGAAGATTGATCAATGGACCACAACCATCAGGAAACCACCGGTTATGAACAGGGTGGCGTGAGATGGGAACGTCGTATTCATGGGCTTGAGCTTGAAAGATATCGGACCATGTGTTGAAGAAATTCCAATAAGAAGTTCCATCACCAATACCATGGTTCATAGAACAACCTATGAAAACACCATCCAATAGTTCAGTAACTTTAATGGACAACAGTGGCTCGGTGTGACCATCATGGTTGACTGCTTTGTGGGAGTCAAAGAATGAGTGAACAATGGGTGGGACATCAACGGGAGATAGGATGTCAGATATTGTCATATCCAAAGTTGCATAGATGAATCTTGCTCCATCAGTGTTGTTGCAGTCAACGAAAATAGTGTAAGAGGAAGGGTCTTTGTTTGTGACAAGGTGGCCTACCAATGGATAAAAATGGAAGAGGGTGAGAGAAAGAGAGTGCTTCAGCTTCTCCAACAGATTCTCTATGAAATCTTGTTGATCAACAAGTGTTGCAGGCTTCTTGAAGAGTAGACCCTTCTGGATGTAGTGCATAGACAGCATAGCAATATCCCAAGGTGTTAAATTGATGATATGCTCTGATTCTTGAGTTTGACCCGACGGCTTGATAAAACATTCTGAAACGCTTCGAACGACCGGGGAATTCATCGTCCAAATTCTCACCAAATTTCAGAGTTCTGTCGCAGATAGATTAGAGATGTCTAAACTGAATATGTTGATTTTTGTGGTGTGTGAAAGAAAATGAACGCAGGTAGAGGCCATCCATCATCATCATCAATGGTTAAGAACCAATCGAGTTCACGTCAACTTTCTCTACTGCATGACGAATGTGCTTATCACATTACAGGTTTTTATCACATTTTCTGGGGAAAATTTTGTTGACTACCAAACATTAATATATAAGTATGTGGTGCACCATACACTTCTTACCGACACACGATAGCCACATCTATTGTGTCTATAAGTCATCAAACCCCAACAGACACGTCTATTAGGGTGGGAGCTAGACACACCTATAGAAAACTTAGAAGTTTAAGCCCATTCACAAAACCTAAATACAGTATTATAAATAAATAAATAAAACGTGTACTCTAAAAAAGTTAATAAATTAACAGTATATGTACTATCCTTTTAACCTTGAGTGTTAAAGTATCTTCTGTTGCAGGTTGCACAATTGTCCCGTGGCAGAGGCCGGGTGGGCCAAGTCACAATCCAAGAGTGGGATACCTTGTAGGACAATTGCTGAGGGGGAGATTGTTGCAGGTAGCATCAATTGTCCTGTGACAAAGGTCAGGTGGGCCGAGTCACAATTGAATCGTGGCGCTTGGGCTGTTACTCTTAAGTAAAAAGAGTTGCGCTCTGACTAATGACTATAGCTTTTGGCCTAGTGGTAAGCGCTCGATCCTAACAATTGGTATCAGAGCCAAGGTCACGAGTTCGATTCCTGGTGGACAATTGTTAAGGGAGAGATTGTTGCAAGTTGCACAATTGTCCCGTGGCAGAGGCCGGGTGGGCCAAGTCACAATCCAAGAGTGGGATACCTTGTAGGACAATTGCTAAGGGGGAGATTGTTGCAGGTAGTATCAATTGTCCTGTGACGAAGGTGAGGTGGGTCGAGTCACAATTGAATCGTGGCGCTTAGACTGTTAAAGTAAAAAGAGTTGCGCTCTGACTAATGGCTATAGCGGTGAGGTGGGTCGAGTCACAATTGAATCGTGGCGCTTAGACTGTTAAAGTAAAAAGAGTTGCGCTCCGACTAATGGCTATAGCTTTTGGCCTAGTGGTAAGCGCTCGATGCTAACATCTTCTGCCATTCGAACTACAATTCAATCGACAATTCAGAACAAGCTTCGAAAGAATTCAGAGATACGCCGTACTTTATGAAAGACCCTTACCTTAAAAAACTAATATTAATATAATATTAAAATTTATTATTTTATTAATATATTGGGTTGTCATTGGTTTGGATTGGATTTGAAATTATCTTTCCATTTTTATTAGTATATCCCTTGTTTTTTCACTTGAGTAGCGTCGGGGTAATTATATAAATTTTTTATCAAATAATAAATTCATAATTGAGAAGTTATAGATTTATTTTACAAAATCATATAAAAAATCTCTATTAATTAAAGCTAATCAATTTTAAATGTTTCATATTTTATTTGTTGAAACAATTCACTGCTATACACAAAAATATTGAAATTTTATTTTAGCTAAATAATATAAAGGGTTAGGTATGGATAATTAATGACATAATTAATTCTTCGTACATAAATAATAATACGCAATATATTACAACTTTTTTTAGTTTGGGAAAATCAAAGCACTGTATTCAAATTGGTATTCGTTTCTCAGAAATAAAGTGGAGGAAGGTAATTCATAATTACGATAGGTTAAAGAATGGGTTAGTCTATTATTATTATTATTATTACTATTATTATCATTATTATTATTTAAAAAAGTACATATTTAATTATATAAATAATTTTTAAATTTTAATTTATTAGTTAATATTTTTGTTAAATAATAAAAAAAATTAGTATATTTATGTATTCAAATAATTAAGTATAATTAATAATTAGAATTTAATTAATTAATATTTATAATTGAAATTATAATATATTTATATTTTTTAATAATACGATAAAAAAAATATATTTAAAAATATATTTTTTATTTTAATTTTAATATATAAATATTTTTTAAAATAAATCACTCCGTCTCATTCTTATTTTGCCAAATTTGTTTTATATATTTAAAATGGATGGATTACTTTACTTGTTTTATTATCTCTAATTTTATGTAACGAAGACCAACCAAATTCATTTAACATGGACTGGGAGATAGTGCACGAGTCATTCTCACCAAATTATGTGAGTTTTTATAATGTTAATTATATTTTTCAATGTATTAATTAAGTCTTGGGCAATCTTTTATTAATTATATATATTTTTTTCAATTTACCACAAAATAAAAATAATAATTCTCCAAATAACATGGTGTCCATAATTATTTTTCAATTTACCATTTTCCTTCATGTTGAAACTTTCACTTCTCTGACCCATCTTTCCTGGTAGAATCCCTTCACTCACCCAATCATAGCTTAGATATTTTAAGATGGACCTACCCTACTATTTCTATTCATCCAAACCCAATTGCAATTTGCAACCTTCACATCACCTCGTTTCCCACATGTCAAAGAAACATTTGTTTCGTTTTCCTACTACGTAAGTAAGTACAATGTTTGAAACACAAATGATGGCCACGGAGGAAAACCTTGTTATATCTCCCGTCCAGGAAAATTTTTTCTTAACGCTAAGCCTCAGTTGGGAACAAAGGAAAGAAAATGTAAAAAAAATTAAAAGTAGAATGAGAAATATATTTATTTATTTCAGAAAAATTGTAAATTATTATTTAATTAAAACTTAATATTTGAATACTTACAAAATTATTCATATAATTATTTTTAAATTATTAAAATATTTATTAATAAAAATATAATTTTATAAAATAACGTCTCTCTAATATTTTTTATTTATATATAAAGAAAAAATAAATATGTTTAATATAATGAAAAACGTTTTTTTTCTATCGAATAAAGAAAAGTTTATTTTCTGTAATTAATATTTTTCATATTAATGAACTTAACCTTGGATTTATAAATTTCAGTTATTTATAACATTGGACTCATTTCTAGTGCCGTATCGATCCCGTTTTTAAATCATTAATTGTTTTAATGATTTTAGCATCACTTTTGTTGTAATGGTTTGTAAAAAAAGCCAGTTGCAACTTCCATGCTTCTCGTTCTACACCATTCTCTATCAATTTGTAGCTTCAGTACTCGCTAATTGAATAGAGTTCCCCAAGTATTTCCCGAGGAAGAGGTGGTTTCCATTCTTGATCGATTATTTGTTGACAACATGAAAGTTGTTTTATGCTCTTAGTGTAGAAAGTATTAAAATTTAGTTGAAGTGTATAAAAGAGTTTGATAGAGACAGGATTTTGTGAGAACACGATAAGTTTTGAAACATCAAATCAACGTTCTTTTTGCTTAAAGTAACAGTGTATCCCAACCAAGGAGAGGCAAATCTACAGGCTCGCTAGTGCAGGGGGGTGGGCACAGAAACAGCTTCCATGAACTCTTCATTTGATTCAAGTGCACTCATTACATCAGGTGAAAGGGATATTTCAAAATCTATGGTTCCACCTCCATCACGTCCTGGATATGCTATCACGTTCCCATCAAATTTGTTGGCATACCCACTCAGAACTGCCACCGCTTTTCCCATCCCGAATTCAATCCCATACACGTTGAACCTGGGAGAACTTGATAGCATCACACAACGCGAGTCAAGGTGCACACCGTGTTGGTAGATCACAGGATGTTGTAGCCACTCTTCCAGCATGTCTCTCACCACTCTGTCGTTATGGTTCGCAACAGTCAGGTGCACCTTCCATGCAGCCCATCCTAGATTATTCTCCAGCAATTCTCCCACCGTGCTCTTAGCACTCACCACATCAACAGCACTTCCAAAGTACTCGCGTGGCAGAGGCGGTTCCATTCTTGATCGATTATCTATGGCCAATGTGCACTTTGTTCTCTCACCGTGTGGCATCTGGCGTGCCCGTGTTATGCATCTCCAAACATGCGCTGACAAGGATTGGAAAGAGGAGATTTTGGTGGTTTTGGACTCTGAGTTGGCCCTTGCTTTCAGCTTTGCAATAGACTCTGCAGAAAAATGGAAGAATCTCCCTCTCAGCAAAGGTGCTTCAAATCTGCTAATAAATTCATCGTGATGTTTGAAGGGAAGGTTGATTAATGGACCGCAACCATCTGGAAACCACCTATTATGAATAGGATGGCATGAAATGGGAACATCGTGTTCATTTCCTTGAGGTTGATCCTGAAAGATCTCAGACCATGCATTGAAGAAATTCCAATACGAAGTGCCATCACCAATATTGTGGTTCATGGAGCAACCTATGAAAACACCGTCCACTAGTTCAGTAACTTTAATGGACAATAGTGGCATGGTATGACCATCATGGTTGACTGCTTTGTGGTGGTCAAAGAACGAGTGAACAATGGGTGGGACATCAACGGGAGATAGGATGTCAGATATTGTCATATCCAAAGTTGCATAGATGAATCTAGCTCCATTACTGTTGTTGCAATCAACAAAAACAGTATAAGAGGAAGGGTGTTTGGTTTTGTTGGTGACAAGGCGACCAGCCAATGGGTAGAAATGGGAGAGGGTGAGAGAAAGAGAGTGCTTCAGCTTCTCCAACAGATTCTCTATGAAATCCTGTTGATCAGCTAGTGTTGCAGGCTTCTTGAAGAGTAGACCCTTCTGGATGTGGTGCACAGACATCATAGCAATATCCCAAGGTGTTAAATTGCAGATTTGCTCTGATTCTTGAGCTTGGCCGGACGGCTTGATAAAACATTCTGAAACGCTATTAACCACGGGGGAATTCATCATCCAAAATACTAAAAAAAAAATCAGATTTCAGTTATTAGATATGTTTTTACTGAACTGAACTAGGGGATATTTGTGTTTATATAAATGTAGGTGGAGTCACTCAATAATCAATGCTCATTATTACTTAATGTGGACCAACCAATTTCACTTGAATTTTCACAATACGGAGTTTGGCATGACTAATGAGCCACCTACCCCTTAAAAACTTGATTTTATTTTATGATAAAATATTATACTTTACCTCATACATTTTTTTTAATTAATTAGCATAATCTTTCCCTCCAGTACATAAAATATTTATAAAATAAGATATGTGTAGAGGAGAGGATGGAGACGCAGGATTTACAGTTGAAGTCAAAAACCAGCGGCCAAAGCTTTGCATGCGTGCACCGTCCCCTCAAACAAACCAAAGCGATTTTCTTCACGTATTTGGTATAAGAAATTAACGAAGAAAAAGAAAAACAAAACCAATTTGTTTTTGATTTTGGGGCCCAGTAGAATGTGTAAATAACGGTTGAGAGAGAAGACAGACTAGAATAGAAACAAAAATGTGAGAAATAAATAAACATAAAGGTTGCTTTATTGAAAAATAAATAAAAAATATACCTATTGGAAAAAAACTAAGCAAAATTTATTTTATTAATATTTTAGTTTAATTAACATTTTCTTATTCTTAATTAATATACATTTTATTTTTTATTGATAATATTTTTTTATTTATGTTAATATTATTTTAGTGTTGTTATTTTTTATTTGTTATATTGTTATTATCATCCGTATCTTATTTTATATTATTATTATTATTTTATTGTGATAATTATAATATTATTTTATAATTATTGTACCTGGTTGCTAACCCGAAGGCCGGCGGCTCTGTTTTAGACATTTTCTGTTTTGTTTCTTCACTCCTATTTCTCTCCCATTCTATAAATTTATTCCAGGATATTTAATATACTAATTATGTTCTTCTATTACTGACATCGATGATATGGTATACAATAATAACAAAGAGTTGAATCTCCAATATGCCAAGTCAATAGAAATTAATAGCAAAGACCCAACCACAGTGTATTAAGATGTATTTTGTGTTGAGAATTCAAGGACTTGATGTTGCACTTGATGAATATGAAGAATGGATTTTGATGATGATCCAAGAACTAAAGACTTAGAATATTGAAGATTGAAGATTGGTGATAATTGTATTGTAATAACTCTGTTTTATTTAAGATTGAGTCTGTATTTTTAGAGTCTAAGATAGCCGGTACATAGTCTGTAACTTAGAAGCTTCAAAAAGCTCAAATTTATCATTTAGGCTCGGCTTTAATCGATTATATAGGTAAATAATCGATTAAAACGAGTGAGAAAACACTTTCTATACAAACTCACTTGTTTTAATCGATTAAAACAGACAAAATAATCGATTGTTTTGTACTTGTTCAGTATGCAGATAATCGATTATTTCACCAAATAATCGATTATTCCGAAGAGGTTTGGGTTACGACGTATTTGGCTCTGTTTTAATCGATTATCACTCCAAATAATCGATTATTTCGATCTGTTTTTCATTTTAAATTTCAAATTAACCCTATTTTTGAAAACCCAATTACCAAGAACCCTAGTTTCGAAATCCCCAATTCCTAAACCCTAATTTCCCTACTTAAACTCTGCTTTGGCACTCGAGAAAATAAGAACAACTCTTTCCATACAAAAGTTAAGTGCTGTGAGTGCCGGAGAAGCTGTTTGTTGCAAGGAAAGGGGGCTTTTGGAACTCGGTGTGAGGCTAGAAGCGATAAGAATCACTAAGTGGAGTTCTTAGTGGATTGTGTCTTTGTCTCGTCTCTAGGGAAAATCTGTTCTTCATCTCTTGTGGATTTCAAGAGAGGTGTTTTCTCGATCTTTATCTCGTTCATTTGTAATCTGTTTGTAACAATTTGTTCTTAGTGACAACGTTAATCCTCTTTTGAGTGATTAGCAACTGGACGTAGGGTCTTTTGATCCGAACCAGTATAAACCTACTGTGTAATCTTCTCTACTCTTCTCTATTTACATTTACGCAGTTTTTAATCGGTAAAATTTGGGGAAAATTTTGAAAACCTAATTTTTATTAAGAAACCAATTCACTCCCTCCTCTTGGTTTTTGTCCGACCACGCGAACATTCCGCTGCGCGATTCTAACAAGTGGTATCAGAGCTTGCTTTGATAGTCATTCAAATATTTTCGAAAATGACCGGACAAAATCAAACTTTTGCCGAAGGTGCGTCTATCAACAGACCCCCACTTTTTGCGGGTCAAAATTATCCTTTTTGGAAGGTACGTATGCAAATATTTTTAGAGTTTGTTGATAGAGGCGTTTGGGACGCAATTTTAAACGGTCCATTTGTTCCTAAAATTACAGAGAACGGTGTTGACGTTCTTAAACCTATTTCTAGATGGACTGCAGAAGAAAGTCGAAAAGCACAATTTGATGTTAGGGCTAAAAACATTATTTCATCTGCTCTAACCCTTGATGAGTTTTATAGAATTTCGGTTTGTAAAAGTGCACGGGAAATGTGGGAAATGCTAAGGGTGACCCACGAAGGAACTAACGACGTCAAAAGAGCACGTAAAAATTCTTTAATCCAAGAATACGAGATGTTCGGATGCAACCGAGCGAAACGATATTTGACGTACGAAACGTTTCACTCATATCGTGAACCATCTCACCGGACTAGGTAAAATTTTTGACGTTGATGAATTAAATGTTAAAATTTTGAAATCTCCGGATAGGAAATGGCAACCAGAGGTGACGGCCATCTCGGAGTCACAAAATCTTGCCACTATGTCTATGGCGGCGTTATTTGGAAAGCTTAGGGAGCATGAACTTGACCTTGGAAGACTAAATGAGGAAGAGGGTCAATATCAAAAGAAGAACCTAGCTTTCAAGATCGAGATTTCAAAAAGCAAAAATAAGAAAGAAGAAGAAGAAGACTCCGAAATTGATGAAGAAGAGATGAGTCTTTTTATAAAGAAGTTCACCAAGATGATGAAAGCAAAAGGAAGACATCCTTTCAAAGGTAAGGGAAAGGTAAAAGAAAATTCTTCCGTTAATATAAAATGCTTTGGTTGTGGTGAAGCGGGGCATATGAAGACCGAATGCCCAAACAAGAAAAATGATGAACACAAGGGCAAAAAGCAATTCAAGAAGAAAACATATATTGCTTGGGATGACGAGTGATTCAAATTCAGAATCAAGCGACTCGAAATTGAAGCAAACATTTGCTTGATGGCAAATAACAACATTTCTTCGGATTTTGAGGTTAGTGATTCCGATTCATCCTCTAGTGAAGAAAATGACCATGATGAATTGCAAAATGCTTATAATGAGTTATTTACTGCATTTATGGATATGAAAAAAGAATATAAAGTTGTAAAGAAAAATCTAAGAAGATCCGAAAAGGAAAATGAGTCCTTAAAATTGAAAATTGCATGTTTAGAAGAAAAGGAGGTAGCTAATACGAAAATTGTATGCTTAGATGAGAATAAGGACTTAGCTTGTGCAAATTGTAAAGAGCATGAATATGACATAAATATTCTTAACCATTTGCTAGACAAAGCGGAAAAAGAAATTGATGATCTTAAGAAGCATGAAATGGTAATTGCTCAAAATAATGTAAATCAAAGAGTTCCTTTGAAAAAGAGTAAAACTAAAAAGAAAAGAGTATGGGTAGAAAAAGGAACTAGAGCATGTCATGTAAATAATGCATCTTATTCCATAGCTACATCAAAAGCATGTTTTTATTGCATGAAACAAGGTCACACTTCAAATAAGTGTAAAATCAAACATTTTGGTGTTCCTAAAGGAAAATATATTTGGGTTCCTATAGTTAAATGAACTATTTGTATCTTGTATTTATTCAAAGAAAATGGATCATTTAGTATGTTTTAAACAGAATGCTTAGGTAAAAACATTTTATCTTTTCTATTGCATGAAGGTTCTTCACTTAAAGATTTTTTTGCGAAAAGCCTCTAAAATTGTTTTAAACAACTAAAAACAAAGTTTTTTTTACAAAAGCTTTCTTAAAACATGTTTTTAAGCGATGCAGTTTTGAAAGAACCAAATAAAATCACTTAGAATGTTCAAAGAAGTGTTTTTACAGTATTTTAATCGATACAACTTGTTTTTAATCGATTAAAACCATTTAGAACTCATTGTGATCGATCAGATTTTTATTATGAGCTGGTCAGAATCTTTTAAATCGATTAAAAACACGTTTCAATCGATTAAAATCACTTAAAGGGTCAGGATGATCGATCAAAATCAAATTATAAGCGATCAGAATTCTTTTCAATCGATTAAAACACGTTTCAATCGATTAAAATCATTTAAAGGATCAGGATGATCGATCAGAATGCAATTATGACTGATCAGAATCGATTATGATCGATCAGAATTTAGTTATGACCGATCGAACTCTTTTAATCGATTAAATCTCGTTTCAATCGATTAAAACAACTTAAAAAATTTTCTACTACTGCGTTTTAATCGATTAAAAGAAGTTTTAACAGATTAAAGCTGCACTTTAACAGATTAAAAGAATCTTTTAACAGATTAATTAAACCAGCGAGTTTTGAAAATCTTCTATAAAAGCAGTTTGGCTTGAACTTTTTAAAACACACATTGAATATAAGTTTTCACACATCCTTTAGCAATCAATCAAGCAAGCTGCGGTGCAAACACTTTGGAGATCAAGGATGTGCTACTTGTTGATGATATTATTGGATCAAGCTGATAGTTTGTTATGTGTAGAATTTGCTAAGATAATGCGGGGAGAGTTTGAAATGTCTATGATGGGAGAATTGACATTCTTCCTTGGACTACAAATCAAGCAACTTAAAGATGGTATTTTCATCTCTCAAACCAAATACTGCAAAGAGATCCTCAAAAAGTTTGGTATGGACATCTCAAAGGAAGCTAACACACCCATGGGAACTTCATGCTATCTAGACAAGGATGAATC